CCGCGCGGGGCGAGCCCGCCCGTAACCCGACCCTCGGCCTCGACCCCCGGCCCTCGGCCCACCCGCCCAGGCTCTAGCGCCCCGCCGCCCCGGCCAACCCCGCCGACGCCGTTCCGCCGGGCCGGACCCTGGCTTCGATGCGGCTCCGGCTCAAGCTCGCTGGCGGCTTCCGCCTCCTGCGGCCCCGCCCCGGCCCCGCCCCGCGTTCGCCCCTCGCCCAGGCCTGCCCCGCCCGGCCACGCGCTTCGGGACACTCCTGGCGCTTAGCGACCGAAGAACTGTCCCGGCCGTGAAACCCGGCCCCGCCCAAGCGGCAGGTTCCCAGCCCCTGCGGCCCTGCCGCCTCCCTACACACCAGCCCAGGAAGAGGCGGTGCCAAAAGGACAGCCAGTTCCGCCCATCCAGAGGGGTGAGCTGATTGACAGGCGAACTGCACAATAACGGCAAGTGCTTGGTCGAGGCTCCCGTGAATCTCTGTGCCCCAGGCTAAACAACCAATCAAAATGTTCTTCCTCTTGGGCGGACTCGAGGACTGAATTTGCTGCCAAAAGAAAGAGTTCATTGGACCGCACTAGAGGAAGCGACCTAAACGCCACTTCCGGAGCTGCTTTGCTCCTCTGTGGTCTTTCCAGGTAGTCTCTGGGTTTTGCCCGCAGTATACATGGAGGGCGCGGTTGTGAGTTTTAGCCAATAGGCTCGCACTGTTTCTGGGGTCGGAAAGGGCCACTGGGCAGAAAATCTTGATTGATGTTAGAGCAATCCAATCAACGCTCCCGACAAGGGGCTCTGGAAAGTCTTCCCCCGACTAGTGATTGCCGTGAGCGGTATGGCGAGCCTGAGTTAAACTTGGGGTTCAGTTGCAGTAACAGCCGGCGATCATGATATTGTTATCTCTCATGGTCTGGCGTTCACTGGGCTTAGTCAGGTGATTCTCACAAAGGGTCTCTCGTATGGATAAAGTCCTATGGCCGGGGACTAAAGTCATGTGAGGGCTTCTGCGCTCACCTGTTTATTGCTTAATGCTGGCTGCCCACTAGGACCTCAGTTGGGACTGCTGGAATGCCTACACATGGCCTTTCCATGTGCAAAGGTGGAAGTGGAAGCTGCCGGTCTCTTGTGACAAGGATTCTTTGCTTGACCAAACTTTAGTCAGGCTCCCAGACTTTCTCGTAGGCCCATCTGTGGACTTCCTTGTAGGCCCATCTGTGGACTTCCTTGTAAAATCCGTTTTTAGCAAGAACCCTGCTAAGTCAGTTTAGCAAGAACACTCTACCTGGTTATCTGATGAGGTTCTTTAGCCTCCACCATCCCCCAGGTGATGTCTGATTACCCTGGCCTGCCTTCAACAAGAATCCTGTTAGGTGGGTTTAGCCAGAATCCCCCTTACCCTGATTTGTTTCCTATTAATAATTTTCCATCCTCTAACCCCCACCCTGCTTTTTGGGTCTAAATTCCCGCTTACCCATGCTGTATTCGGAGTTGAGCCCAATCTCTCTCCCCCACTGCAAAATCCCATTGCAGAGGTCCCTATACCTATTATGATGGTCCTGAATAATAAAGTCTGCCTTACCATCATTAACAAGTGTGTTGAATATTTTTTTCTTTAACACCTAAGGCCTGGGACCAGAAACTGACACAGAATCTTTATTCTGTACTGAATTCTATTAGTCAAGCAGCCACGAAATCAGATTGATGGGAGGAGAGTTAAATAATTTGGGGGCTATGTTTTAAAGCTTCTAAGATCCACCCTCTGGCCGCAAATATTTTACATTCTTCCCACATGCAAGATACATGTACCCCTTCCCCAGATCCCTGCAAAGTTCTCATTCCATTACAGCATTAAGTTCCAGGATCTTATGAGGCCCTGGTGCAGATGAAGCTCTTTGGATGCAGTTCTTTGGGTATAACTGCTTAAGTGGTTCCTCTCCATATGAAGATCTGTGAATTAAAAAGACAAGTGATCTGCCCGCCCACTACCACCTACATTACATGCAGTGATGGGAGAGGCACAGGAAACTGTGCCTCTATAGCCATTTCCCTTCAAAGAGGGTGGAAATGGAAGGTACATGGCAGTCACTAGTCCATAGAAATTCTCAAAACCAATTGGGTAAATGTTGCCAGTTCCTTGATTAGAAAGACTCTGTCATACTTCCTGGGAGTACTCAGTGGCTGTTGTCTCCAGCCACTGGGCTCTTCTTGGTTCCACCCTCTGAGTTATCCTTCTAGTTCCATAAAAAGTAGCCCATGTTTACGGTTAATAGTTTTCTCAGCTGCTTCCTGTCTATGGTTGTGCAGGGATCTGAAGTCCTCTCTTCATGTAGTACGGTCACTGTCCCTCTCAGTCCAAGCTGATACAATTCATTTTTAAACTTGGTGGGTTTCTTGTGAATCAATTTATAATCTACTCCGATAAACAAAAACTGCACCAACACGTATCCTGGGGGCAACTTAGCTGTATTGTTCTGGCTGAAGTTTTCTCATAAGATTATAGTCAAGATATCAGCTGGGGCTGCAGTCATCTGAAGGCTTAACTGGGGCAAGAGGAACCACTTCCAAGCTCACTTAAGTGACTGTTGGCCAGAAGCCTCAGTGCCTCAACATTTGGGACCACAGGGCTGCCTCAGCACACACACTCACACACACACACACACACACACACACCCCAGAGTAAGTAAAACGAGAGAGAGAAATGAAGGTGCAGTGCCTTTTATGACCTGGTCTTCAAAGCCACACACCATCCCTTCCACTTTATTTCTGTTCCATAGAAGCAAGTCACTCAGTGCAGCCTCCATTCAAGAAAAGGAGAATTGGTCTCCATCTTTTGAAGGGATGAATATCAAAGAACTTGTGGGAATATTTTTAACCAGCACAGCCATATTCATCAATATCACTTAATAGGTTTTTGAAGTCACTAAACAGCACAAGTAGATCAGAAAAAGAAATTAGAGATACAAAAATGGGAAAGAGGGGGTTAAATTATCACCATTTATAGATTATATGCTCTTATGTGTGGAAATCTCATAGGAACCAAGTAAAAATTTAATAACATGGTGGCATACACCATGAATATTCATAAGTCAATAGCTTTATATAAACAAACAGGTTTGAAAATATAATAGAAGAAAAAGATCAATTTATAATAGGATTTAAAAAGGTAAAATACCTAGGAACTAACTTAATAAGAAAGGTAAAGAATTATGTGAGCAAAACTTTTAAATTCTCAAAATGAACACAAAAGTACATTGAACATAAAGAATACTACATCCAATATTATAATGGTAGTTCTCCTTAAGCCAACCAGTAAATTTAATGTGATTCTAATAAATATACTAACAGAATTTTTTTAATTGGACAAACTGATTCTAAGATTAATATGGAAAAGTAAATGAGCAAAAATAATAAAGAAAAAATTGAAGAGAGTTAAAAGATATTAAAACATTATAAAACCTAAATATTTAAAAGAGTGTGCATTGGTGAAAAAATAGATGAGCAAGAGAAGAGAATGAAAAATCTAGGAACAGATCAGTATGCATATGGAAATTTATTATGCGATAAAAACTAGCATCGCAAGTCAGTGGAGGAAAATGGACTATTCAATAAATGGTTTGGGAATCAGCTTTAACCATCTGAAAACCCTTATACAAGTTTCTCACTATCCAAAAGTAGAGTGTTCCTATGAAAACTTTTGTAAGCTGAAATGATGTGAAGCAAATGAATAATTACCATTAATTTACATGGAAAAATTTTTGAGCATTTCCAGACCCAAAAATAACCTACCAAAGCATACCAAATAACACATAAAATCTAAAATAACACTGAAATATAGTAAAAGCAGGAATGATATGGTAAGTACACAGCCTGTATAAAGTAGAAATAATATATGTACAGTGCAGGTTCACTCGCTAGAATCGGGAAGACAGCGAGCACACTGGAAGGCTGAGAGGTTGTGGTGGTGATGGTGTATCATGCTGAGTTGTCAGAGGATGGGGTGGTGGGAGGTACAGGAGACTGGGGTGTAGGAGAGAGAAGAAGAAGGTCATCTGTTAACACCTCATCCTCATCTGAATCCATCAGGGCAGGCAGGTCACTAATGTCCATACCTTCTCTATCTGCCTGCCTCAGTGTCAAAGGTTGAGATTCATCATCTGCTGTGGCTGCTGTGGAAGGCTGGAAATACACAGTGTACTTTACTGCTTAGCCTCTATAATGGCTCCCTGCAAAACAAGCGCTGTCTGCTCTTTTCTCCTTTTGCCTTTTTTCCGAAAAACAAAAAACCCCCTTGGAATTCCTTCAAGTAACAAGGGCCAAATGTAGGTCTTTCATAATAGTGAAGAGGCATAAAGAGAAGTTTCAGATGGCGGGGGAAACTTGTACCAAAATAAACTCCAAGTGGCTTGAAGTTTTTTTTTTTTTT